CTGGAAGGAGGAGGGTGAAGAGCATAAGTATGAAAACGATGAAAATAATGTAAGTATGGTTACTGATACCTTGTATAGAGCATTTATTGTCAACAGGCACTCTGTTCAGCACTTAATGTGCATTATCTCATTTAATCTTCTCACGACCCTGAGAGGTAGATAATTTTATTATCCCCATTTTACATATGAAGAAACTGAGGCTCAGAGAGGTCATGTATCTTCATTTCAAGCTTTGGGAAAAAAAGTATGTAGCATTTGTTGTGTCTTTATTATGAACCAAGAGCTACTTTAAGCACTTTGTGTATGCTTAATTAATTTTAAGTCATATTAAGACATGTAAAAAATAAAGTTCCTGCTTTCCAGAAACTCATAGTCTAGAGGGGAAAACTGATACCATAAATAATGGATATATCCTAGAGGGTGAGAACAATACAGTTAGGGTTCAAATGTCATTATATGGGGACGAAAGGAGAAGGCCATTCTTTACTACCGGGCAACCTAGAAAGGCTTCATGCAGAAGGTAAGATTTAAATTGAATCTTGAAGGAAGAGTAGGATTTTGACAGACGGATTAGTGGTGGAAGGGCCTTCCACGCACAAGGAAGAGCTCGAACGAAGGCCTGGAGATGGAAGAGTCCAAGGTCTGTGAGTAATACCATAACCTGAAAAAGTACAGGGAGCATGGGAAGCCATGGAACAGGAGATGACACTGGGAAGGAAGCAGGGGAGCTCAGGTCCCATACTGAATGGAATGAGAAGCCAGTGATGGTTCTTAGCAGAGGAAGAGCGTGATCATATCTGTGTATCAGTAAGATCATTTGAGATGACTGTGCGAGCAGGAGAAACGGTAGGCAGGGAGGTCAGCTAAGAGTTGCGGTGACTTAGATGAGAGGCAATGGGAACCTGAAATAGGCTACTACTTCTGAAATCAATTTGAAAGATACTATGGAGGCAGAATGTTCAGGGGTTTGCAGTTGACTGGATGTAGGGGGTGAAGGAGAGGGAGTAGTGAAGTGAACGATGCCTTGAAAGGGCCTGTGGGAATGCTTGGAAGGTATCAGAGTGTCTGCCTCATTTTCTAGGATCTAGTTACTCATTATTCTTCCTGAAGGTGCAATGAAATCAGAGTCTAAGGTGCCTGTCTTAGAAGTGGTAGTCACTCTTCTGTTGATCAAACGTCTTCTGAGGTGGGGTGGTTGGGCTCCGATGTCAATTTCTATCACAGAAAGAAAATGAACATCGACTGAGGGTTTTCTTTCCTCTTTGATTATCAGAATGGTCTTGAGAGCTCTGTTCTACAATGGTAGAGGGTGAACGACTTACTTGCACAAGCTCACATAACAAGTAAATGGCAGACCTGGTCTGTCTGACTCCCAAGAGTATGTTCTATTTTTTGTATTATCAGCAACCAGAGATACGAGGCAGACCCACACACACACACAAAAAGATGTCCATGAGAGAGAAAAAAGAACAAGAGGTGGACTTAAAGGTCTTTACTGAGGAGAAGAAATCTGGAAGAATCAACAGTGTCAAGCCTGGTGTTGCAAGAAATAGAACAATGACAAGACGTGGCTCCTGTTTTCATGGAGCTTATTGGGTAGAGGAGGCAAAGGGTATAAAGGCTGCTATGCAACCGAATTTTCCAAAGTGCTCTGGACTTTCACAGATAATGTAGTCTCAGGTTGCCAGGACAATGTTGCAGAGAAGGTATGACTTGAGCAGTATCTCAAAGGAAGGGTTGTCCAGGGATAGTCCAGGAAGGGTGATCAGGGAATCTTTTTTTTTTTTTTTTTTTTTTTTTTGCGGTACGCGGGCCTCTCACTGTTGTGGCCTCTCCTGTTGCGGAGCACAGGCTCCGGACGCGCAGGCCCAGCGGCCACGGCTCATGGGCCCAGCCGCTCCGCGGCATGTGGGATCTTCCCGGACCGGGGCACGAACCCGTGTCCTCTGCATCGGCAGGCGGACTCTCAACCACTGCGCCACCAGGGAAGCCCAGGGAATCTTTTAAGTGTAGGAAATAGAGCAGAAGTGAAGGAGTGAGAGAGTAAGTAACCTTGGCATTTTTTTAAACATCTTTATTGGAGTATAATTGCTTTACAATGGTGTGTTAGTTTCTGATTTATAACAAAGTGAATCAGTTATACATATACATATGTTCCCATATCTCTTCCCTTTTGCATCTCCCTCCCTCCCACCCTCCCTATCCCACCCCTCTAGGTGGTCACAAAGCACCGAGCTGATCTCCCTGTGCTATGCGGCTGCTTCCCACTAGCTATCTATTTTACATTTGGTAGTGTATATATGTCCATGCCACTCTCTCACTTTGTCACAGCTTACCCTTCTCCCTCCCCATATCCTCAAGCCCATGCTCTAGTAGGTCTGTGTCTTTATTACCGCCTTACCCCTAGGTTCTTCATGACCTTTTTTTTTTCTTAGATTCCATATGTATGTGTTAGCATATGGTATTTGTTTTTCTCTTTCTGACTTACTTCACTCTGTATGACAGATTCTAGGCCCATCCAGCTTACTACAAATAACTCAGTTTCGTTTCTTTTTATGGCTGAGTAATATTCCATCGTATATATGTGCCACATCTTCTTTACCCATTCATCTGTCGATGGACACTTAGGTTACTTCCATGTCCTGGCTATTGTAAATAGAGCTGCAGTGAACATTGTGGAACATGACTCTTTTTGAATTATGGTTTTCTCAGGGTATATGCCCAGTAGTGGGATTGCTGGGTCGTATGGTAATTCTATTTGTTCTGTGAATAGATTGCCTGGAATACGAGCTTCACCTAGGGGAAGAGTAGGGGGATGAGCTGGTAAAGAGTTTGAGGCAGGGGGCTTCCCTGGTGGCACAGTGGTTGAGAGTCCGCCTGCCGATGCAGGGGACACGGGTTCGTGCCCCGGTCCGGGAAGATCCCACATGCCGCAGGGCGGCTGGGCCCGTGAGCCATGGCCGCTGAGCCTGCGCGTCTGGAGCCTGTGCTCCGCAACAGGAGAGGCCACAACAGTGAGAGGCCCGCGTACCGCAAAAAAAAAAAAAAAAAAAAAAAGTTTGAGGCAGAGAGTGGAGCAGGGCCTTGAATGCCCACAATAACACATTTGTACTTCATCAAGAAGGCAAGGGAAAATCGCTGACTATTTTTGAGCAGCAGAGGGCTGTAATCAAAGATGCCTTTGAAAGACTCTTCTGGCTGTAGGCAGTGGAATATATGGGAGAGGGTGGAGAATAGAAGTCCAGGAAAGAGGATATTGCAACAGTTTAGATAGATGGCAATACAAGCCCAGAAAAGAAGAGACAGATGGAGAGCCATCCTTTAACTGGAAGCTGGGCCTCAGAGGGGCTCTCAGGAGCATTGCCTAATTCCAAGGGTCATGAATATTTATATTCCACACCTCCCCCAAACCATCTCTTCATTCTTCTCTCATCGCTTCTTTCCTCCTTCTTGTCCCTCTCTCTGCCTTTTCTCTCCCCCTCTTCCCTACGTTTTCCCCCATCACTCCCAGTTGTGCTCAGTAATCAGCCATGATTCTGAACATCATTCAGGAAGGAGGAAAAGCGCTGAGGGAGGCTCTGAGCAAGACAGAAAGAATGAAGGAAAGAGGGTGAGAAAAAGAAGGAAGAAAAGAATTAGGAAGGAGGAAGGGAGGGAGGAAGGAAGGAAGGACACTTTTCTGTAAGGAGCATTTACTGGGAACCAGGCCATGGACCCCTTTGGCAGTCTGGTGAAGCCCTTTTCTGAATAGTATTTTTAAATGCACAAAATAAAATACACAGACTTACAAAGGAAACTCATCATAGTAAAACACCGTTATCAAAATATTGCCAAAAATGTCATACAGTAACATGGGCTTCTTGATTTATGCATTAAATAACCACGCCTAATGGTAGTTCCAATAACTGTTGGAATTTGGAAGTGGTAACGAGCATAAATGAACTTTTTTTTTAGTACGCGGGCCTCTCACTGTTGTGGCCTCTCCCGTTGCGGAGCACAGGCTCCGGACGCGCAGGCTCAGCGGCCATGGCTCACGGGCGCAGCCGCTCCGCGGCATGTGGGATCTTCCCGGACCGGGGCACGAACCCGTGTCCTCTGCATCGGCAGGTGGACTCTCAACCACTGCACCACCAGGGAAGCCCATAAATGAACTTTTGAGATGACTGCAACAACTGGCATGTGAAATGTAAATCTCTGTGATGTCTATTACCGACAAATTCACAGGTATTTCTGTGGTTTGCTGCCTACATTCATCATTTCAATATGAGGTTAGTGAAAACAAACAGGTAATTTTTTCCATCCAAATTCAACGTTGTCCCTCCCTGCCTCATTCTAGGTCTATAGGTCCCTAGTTAAGAACCACTGCTCTACGGGGTCATATAGCCTCCCACAGATTGGACTTGGCAGCCTCCTAACCTGTCCCATCCTTCAGGATGACATTTCTCCACGTCCAGTTTCCAAACTTGCCCCTGTAATTGGCTGCTCACAAAGCCCTGGTTTCTGACTGAGAAAAGCTTCGAGCTCTCAGCCCATTTGCCCGGCACTGATGACTGTCATTCTCTGAGTCCATTGAAGAACTGGCCCTTTCTCAAAATTCTGTCTAATGAGTCACTCACGCAGCCCACAGATTTTCCATAATTCTCTCATCATAGTCTTATACTGGAAAATCACCTTACATCTACCCAGTAACACCAACTCTGCCCCTGCCCCCGAATAGGACTCTTTTCAGCTAGTTCACAGGGGGCAGTCCTGAGAGAGGGCTGGGGTGATCTTTAAACCAGGAAACCTGCAGCCTCACTCCTGGCCTTCATGCCCCTCAGATGGGAGGAGAGAAATCTAATGGACTCAACAGTAGCCATCTCTCTGGGTAGAGAGGCACAGTCCTTCCCAGAGAGAGGGGACCAACAAAATGATCTCTTTGGAGCCCTCCTCATCTGGAGATTCCTGGTCTCTTTCTTCATCTGTTCCCTTGTGCTTTCCAGCCCCTGGGGTTCACTCACCTAAAAAGACATAGACTGGGATCCACTGCAAAACAGAGAGTGTTTGGAGGCTTTCCTGAAGATCCAGATGGGAGAGGAAGGCCATGGCCATGGTGCTGTTCTGTTGTGATAAGAAGGCTGGTGCCTCCAGAGCTGAGCTGATTGCAGGTGCTTTGCTTTAATCTCATCACTGAGTCCCTTTATCTGCTGGAGGTTTTAGCCTTTTCTCCAGTCTTCCCTGTTCTCTCCCCACAACTTCCTATGCACACACCAGGCTTTAGATCATACTTTCTAATCTCTCTAATATGCATCCTTTCCCCACAGGTGCTCAATTGCCTCGGGCTGGTTCTAGCGCCCTGTGTGTGTGTGTGTGTGTGTGTGTGTGTGTGTGTGTGTGTGAGGAGGGGTCCCTGATATATTAGTGCAGGAAAAGGGAATGGCTTAGGCCTCAAATAGGATCTCTGAAAAGCAGTCTGCCCTGGTGGATGCTCTCTGACTCCTCCTGTCTTCTGCTGAGAGCCACCTAGTCGACTAGAGCCTTCTTCTGCATGAATATCTAGACTTCTCAGATCCCTCCTTGTGCCTCTGTTCCCAGGGGTTCTGTACCAGTGGCCAGTGGGAGAAGCATTGCACAGAGAGCAGACCTGGCTTTCGGTCCTGGCTCTGCCAAGTTCCTCCCCGGACGCTGTGGGGGAATCGCTCTGTCTCTCTAGATCTGTTGTTGGGAGGCAATCTAGCGGCTAAAGGCATGGACTTCAGAGCCAGATAGCTAGGGTTTAGATCTCAGCTCTGCCACTTACAAGTTGGCAAACTGCCGTGCCTTGGTTTCCCCAACTGTAAAATGGGGATAATAATAGTACCTGCTTCATAGGGTTGTTCTGAGGATTGAGTGAGTGAATGTAAAGCACTTAGCACTGGGCCTGGCACACAGGAGGTATTACTGTAAGTGTTTCCTATTATTATTCTTCATTTAATAAAATGAATGTCTACTGAACATCTATTATGTTTCAGGCTAAAAGGCTTGCTTCTGCACACCAGCCTTTTCAAAATTAAAGATTGTCTCCAGGTCCCAGGCCTGTGGATTCCTTTTTTCGGTAACTATCTGTTGAGTGATTACCGTTTGCCAGGTGCTGTTCTAGGTGTTGAGGATTCTTTGGGGAAGAAGATGGGCATGATTCCTGCCTTCATTGAACTCACAGTCTAGTGGAGGAGACAGACATTATAAACTTACGAAAGGGGCTTCCCTGGTGGTGCAGTGGTTGAGAGTCTGCCTGCCGATGCAGGGGATGCAGGTTCGTGCCCCGGTCTGGGAGGATCCCACGTGCTGCGGAGCGGCTGGGCCCGTGAACCATGGCCGCTGAGCCTGTGTGTCCGGAGCCTGTGTGCCGCAGTGGGAGAGGCCGCAGCGGTGCGAGGCCCGTGTACCGCAAAAAAAAAAAAACAAAAAAAAACTTACGAAACTGTCTATACACTTGAATTTCTGACAAGTGCCCTAAAGGAAAAGGCCAGTAATTCTCCGCATAAGGCCTCTAATGTAGGTGCTCAAAAAAATCTTCTGAATGTAATCAAAAAGGTTGCTAGGAAAATTAAATACAAAAAGGTATCAAGTGTCCTACAAGTACAAGGAAATATTGATTCCTTAGCCTTTTCCAGGAATATTAGTGGAACTCTCTCTCCCTCCCTACCTCCCACTCTGGCTTGGGCCTCCTCGATTAGACTGACTAATATGAATCTTCAGAGTTGAGCTTAGGGGACGGTTTTGGTGTACCGTGGGATGTACTGTCCTCCCCCAGTGTACCCTCCATGGCCACTTGACATGCCCCCCCTCCTCCTCTTCCTCTTTCTTTTCTTCCCCCTGGCTAGCTGGGGTTACCAAGCTGCTTCCTGGGGGCTAGTTGGCCACATACAGGGTGAGACGTATTAGATCACGTCTGCTCAGAATCTGCAGGGGAGAAGGGAGAGAGGTAAGAGGTGGGCCTGGGCTCTTCCAGGGCAAAGCACAGATGTGGGGAGGGCGAGAGTATCCCGGATAGACGAGTTCCACAGTGCTGCCAGCTCCAAGGCTGCTTACCAATCAGGTCTCTACCCCGCTTCACTTTCAGATGGGTAAATGGAAGAGGCCTAGAAAGGGCTCACACAGGGTGCTAGATGCAGGGCAAGGACACACCGATTTCCATTTCTGTCTCCCTAATGTCCGGCTCAGGGCCTGATACAGTGTAGGCATTCAAGTGAATGCTTGTGGAACAAATAATGAGGTCTGGTCTCCTGGTTCCTTAAGCAAGATGGACTGGCAGGGCTGGGCCATGACCCTGATTTGCCAGCCCTTTCCCCTCCAAAACAAAGAGCATACTGTCTGAGCTGGAGCCTTCCTGAGCCAACTGGACAAGTATAACATGAACACCAGTGAATGTAGTAAAAGCAGGAAGAAGAGAAGTAGGTGAGCAGACAAATCCTGAATAACCAGCACTCATGATTTCCCAATTACAATCCAACCAACCAACAAGCAAACCCTTAGCTGCCTCGGAGTAAGCAGTACCAAAGGAGAGGTGGCCAAGAAGCACAAAAGGGTCTGGTAATTTCATTCATAGACATTTAGGGCTGATATGATTCTAACCCTCAGGAAACCCACAGTCCAGCATGTGAGGTGGATGGAATCACAGACACCCGTATGGGGTGCCGTGGGGTGTGCAGACGCAGATGAGAGAAGCATCCACCAGCCTGAGGAGGGCAGGGAAGCCTCTATGGAAGCGGGGGTGCTGTGGTGAGGAGAAAGGGTGCAAAAGGCATGGAAGGACAGCAAGGGGAAGACTGCAATTAGCTCACCAAACCAGAAGCTAAGAAGCTTTGCAGGAACAACAAAAAACCAAAGAAGACTGGAAGGAAAAGGAGAGCGAGGGGACCGGGGAGCTCAGAAGAAGTGGGTGGAAGCGAGGTAAACTCTGAGAAAGAAGCAGCCCTAGGATTCTTCTTCCTGGATTCTGAAGGTTCACCCTCAGTCTTCAGAATGACTCATTTCTAGAAAGCTTTGGATAGCTGAGGTTTTGCCATAATGTGTTTTCTTCTGATCGTTCCCCTTCAATCATACTCTTACTTGGTTCGGTACTGCAATTTCAGCAATACCTGAACAGGAGAACCTATTTAATGCCAGTCAATGGGCTAGGTACTACACAAGGGACATACATAGTCCCTTCTTTTACCAAATTTTTATTGAGGTTCTACTACAAGCCTGGCATTATTCTAGGTTGACAATCGTGTGTGTGGTGGGTCAGGGGGCTGGCAGGGAGTGAAAGAAGTACACACATCATCAATACAAGGATTGGGGCCATCAGAGAAGTACAAAGAAGATGGAGGGGAAGGCTAGTAGCTGTGTGACCTTGGACAAGACACTTCCCTTCTCTGAGTCTTGGTTTCCTCCTCTGGAAAAAGGGACTAATCATATTTATTTGCTGTGAGGAGTAGTGGTAATGTTTGAAAAGTTCTCGGGCAGTGTCTGCCACCCAGGAGCTTTTCCATGGTACTGGTACTCAGCTGTGTGTGTGGGGGGGTGGCATTTGCAATGGGCTTCAACAGGCAGAGAAGTAGGGAGAGTGATCTGTCTTGTGACGGCTGGGGAGACACAAAAGTCTGCAGGTTTGCTTTGGCACAGGGACTAGTTTCGTTTGACGGGAGCCTCAGGTTTGTGGAGGGGAGCAGAAGGAAAGAAGACTGGACGTTGGTAAGTGGGGATGTCTTCCTCATAAATCCCTTTGTGTCTGCAGATCAGCAGCTCTAGAAGGAACCTACAGAAGTAAATGAACCCAGGAGTAGTGGCTGGAGGTGGGGACCGAGGAGGTGGAGGGTGGGACAGAACAGGGTGAGTATTTCAAAATCTCTTGGAAGTCACTGGATCACTTCTCAGGGCAGGCAGGCTCTGGGGAACAGCAGCATCTAGCGCCTTGGTTCAGGCTAGAATGACTGACTATGTCTATTTGCCAGAGGCTGAGGAGTTGCCCGGGATGCAGGACTTTCAGTGCTAAAACCAGGGTGGTTTGGGGCTCATTGGGATAGCTGGTCCCCTAGTTCAGGCCTTTGTCACTGTCTCCTGGACTCCAGAAGGCTGCTCCCAGCTGCTCTACCTTCCTTTGGTCCTTTGCTGCTAGAGGATTGCTATCAAACACAGCTCTTACCCTCTGCCCTGTTTCTTACCCTCCAAAGGTTCCCATGGCCTCCGGGATCAAGTTCGAAGCCCAGAGCCTGGCCTCCAGAGCCCTTGCTCCACTGGTTTCTGCCCTTCTTGAAAGTCTCACTTCCCATAACTTTCACACCCCACCAGATACAGCCTCCTTTCCCAACCAGGAAGTGCCCTTTGCTATTCTGGGCCTTTGCCCACGGTGGTCTCTCATCAGCCTAAGTCCTACGCATGCTTCAAGTGACTGTGAAAATGTCATTGTCTGAGATTCTCCACCCTGCTCTCTCCTCTGGATTCCCAAGGTACGTTATACATACTTTTGGGAGAGCACATATCAGGAAGTTAGTTTGAGAGTGTAGACCCCACTGCTATATCCAGCTTCTAGTGAGATGCTTCATGTACAGTAAGCTTTTGGTATATATATCTTGAATAGTCAGCATATTCACATGATTCAAAATTCAAAAGGGTCTATAGGGAAATTCAGTGAAAAGTCTCCTTCCCACTCCTGGCCTCTAACAATCCCACACCCCTCCTCCTCCTCCAGGGAAATTTTATGCGTGCCCAAGCAAATCAGGTAATTTGCTTTGTTAAATGAATAAAGGAAATAACAGTAGAAACCGGGAAACGATCCAAATGGTCAAAATCTGGGGGGGCCTAAGTAAGCTATTATATAGCAATCTTATAGACAATCTGCAGTCATTAAAATTATTATAAGGTAGACTCTGTAGTATATGATATGGTAAGCTTTCAAAGCAGAGTATAAAGCAGACCTCTCCACTGAATACACTTTGTGAAAATGTGGTCCCTTCCGTGATAGGATGAAAGGGGGTCTGAGAGAGAAATGATTGCTGCTTTAAGGTGAAGGGATTCTGGGTTTCCTTTTATGTAAGGTTGTTTGAATATGAAAAGAAAGAGGCTGCATTATTGTGAATCTGCCTGACGAAGAAGTGTGATTCATGATGGGACTCATTCATTCAGTAATTCATTCTGCAGACACTGAATGCCGGCTTTGTCAGGAGAAGGCCAGAAACAGTGCTGAGTTTCCCAGGAAGAGCACTAAGTAGGCAACAGGCCCTAAGAAACTCTAATGGAGCCAGAGGGGTGGGGAGTGTGATGAGTTCATTGCCAGGCTGTTGAATTTGAGTTTTTGTTCATCAAGAGGAGCGGTGTGGTAGATGACAGGATATGGGTCAGGGAGCTCAGCAGAAAGGTCAGGGCTAGCACTGGCCATCAGCATACATGTGGTGAGTCATGGAAGCCGGAGGTGGGGTGAGCTCACCCAGGCAGAAGGTAGACAAGGAAAGGAGAAGACAGGTTCCATAAAGCGGGTGAGGAGTCTTTCTGCCAATCACTCAATGTCCCTGAGCCGGGGACAAGGGCACCAGGGTAGCAGAGGCGGTATCTGTCGCTGAGTGTGGGAGGGCCTCAGAGTTCAGGCAGAAATCCTCCCTCCCAGCCCCTGGCTGCCAAGTCTCATGCGCTCACAACCTGGGTCTGGTCTTAGCTGTCCAGGAGGGCCTGGTAGATCAAGAGCGGGGGCTTTGACGGGCTCAGAAAATGTGTAGGAACCCTTAAGTGAGAGGGTGGAATAGAGAGAGGGTTTAAAAGATTCACTTGTACCAAGATCGGATAGGGCTGGAAACAGGTGGGCCTGGCACTGGGAGCAGGAATGTTCTACAGGTTGAGGGATGTAGGGCCCCAGGAAGGGGAGAGTTCTGAGTCCGGGGTATTCCCCCAGTGAGCAGGTCTCAGATGTGCCCTTAAAGGGCCTGGCCGGCAAAGCTGATAGAATCGTTGCTCAAAATTTAGACAGAGAAAGGGGAGGGGTGATCCCCAGAGCAGTGTGCCAGCGGGGTATCTCGCCCACCTTCCTATGTCCCCCGTGCTTTGTGCTTCCCGGGGAGCGTGGCAGACTGGAAGGACGTGGCCTGTGGAATCAGGCCCACCTGGAATCCAGGCCCAGCTCGACACTTAGGGCTGAGTGATCTTTGGGAAATCCCTTCTCTGAGCCTCAAGTTCCTCATTTACAAATTGAGGCAATAATAATATCTACCTTGGGACGTTGTGAGGATTAGAAATAGTCAACTCCTAGTATACAGTAGGTGCTCAATACACGAATTCCTGTTATTTGTGCTACCACATGGGAATAGGATGGCCTAAGTCATTGCTGAGTTGTACTCTCTTGGAGGGATTTATTGCCAGTTGGGACAAGAAACTGAAATCTTTTGTTTACCATCTTTTCACATACATTTGTCAAAGGCGGCCTGGTGGGCAGATAAGTAAAAACCGGTTCTCAATTTCCACTGCATGTAACAATTCTCTCCTGTGCTGGTCATCTCTAGCACACAAAGAAAAGCATGTTCACAAACCTTTTCGCTGGTGGTGATATAGATAGAAGACTGAGAAAGCAATAGGGGGGCAGGGGTTAAAATAAGTTGTGAAATACTGAATTTAAAAAACAATGCATCCCCTCCTCTGGCCGCCAAACTTACATTTGTGCCATGTTTTCTAATTGTTCAAAGTCCTTTTCCATATTTGATTTCATTTGCTCCTTTCTCTGGCCTGTGAGGTAAGTAGGCCAGATGTTGTCAGCATCTGGGAGGGGCTAAAACTGACAGAGCTGGTATTAGAACCCATACCTCCTTGCTATGGAGCATGAGTGAACTGAGCCAGGTTAAACCTTGGATGAATGGGTGAAAAGCAATCTGTGAGGAAATGATGTGCAGGTGTTGGAGGGAGCTGTTTTGCAAGGAGACAAAGGAAGGTCACAGTGCCGTCTTGTTGGGTGTCTGAAAGAGCCGGGTGGCAGTGTATCTGTTGTGCTGATGAGCAAACCGGAGGCCCACAGTAAGCAGAGGAGGATTTTGGAATTCAGTTGCCATAAGAGAGGTGGATTTAGGTTCAAAAGTTTTATCCTTTGCACGTTGTTTTAGATGACAGCAGTGACCCCGGTGACCTGGATGGCCCTGGCTCACCCGGCTAGGGAGGGGCAGAGCCCTGAGGATTGAGACTCAATTCAGAAACCTTAACTCCAACTTCTTGGGCTTGAAATCAGCTCATTCGGTCCCCTGCCCTGTCTTTCTCACAGGGGTGTTGAAAAGAATAAGAGTGGAAAGGACAAATCACCGCATGATGGCATTAAAAGAAGTAGTGCCCAGCGTTCACCTTTTCCAAATAACTAATTGGCCTCCATGTGAGAGCTACAGAGGGCAAATATTTTGGCTACACTGATATGTTTGCATGGTCTATGTATTAGCTGTGTGCTGAAGTAAGTCACTCACTGCATTTCCCCAAGCCAGTTTCCTTCCCTGTAAAACGAAGGCATCATCTCCTGCCTGATGGGTTGTGAGAATAAAATATGCAGCATATGTGAAATAAGCATAGTGCATACGATGAAGCAGTACTGTTATCTGTGGAATGCTCTGAGTCCTAGCTTCCTGAAGTCCATCAAACCCAGCTCACCCTAGGACCCTGAAACGCCTTGTTCCGGTGGGAGTAGAGAAGGTGGTTCTCTTTTTGTTTTCTCTAGCCGCCTGGCAGGCAGACTGAACTGGGGAGGAAAATGGAGGGAGATGGGTTTGCTCACTGCCTCAGTCTTATCCCCCAGCTGAGGGGGAAATGGCGGGGGGAAGCGGGCTGTCATAACCTTTTCTTCGGTGAGTCAGCTAAAAAGAAATTTCTAGAGCTCCAATAACGTATAAGTGGTGGTTTGGGTTTGGATTTTTCAAGCTGCTCCCTCTTTTTAAGCTGCTTTAAGATGCAGAACTAAAAGCACACGCAATTGGGAAGCACATGGAAAATGACAGAAGCACAGCTTGTTGCTAATGTGAACTTGAAGAAATCACTCAGCTTCTCCGGGCCTGTTTTCTAATCTGTAAAATGGGGATAATGCTACCTATTTTGCAGGGTCATTGTGAGTATTAATAGCGTGTGAAAGTGCCGGGTCTGGTGCCTGGCACAGAACAGAGTTTCCAACACCTACCTGTCCATTTCCTTTCCCTTCCTAGTGGACAGACCATAGTCACTGAGCTCAGACGAAAATACTTATTCTTCAGCCTATTATAATGGCTGCCATTATTCATTTAATTCTCACAACAACCCTATGAAACAGCTCATCTATAAACATAGAGGAAACAGAGGAGCAGTTCAGAGAAGTTATATTGCCCAACGTCACACAGCTTTCAACTTTTAAAGCCAGGATTCAAACCCACTTTGTCTAGTTTGCCTCTTAGATATCAGAATGTGAGGGGGCTTCATCAGGCTGGATCTTCTGGAAGGACCATCTTTAAGTAGACTCAGACCAAGGGGATAACCCCAACCTGGCCCATTTGGGGAGTGAGCTCAGGGTGGAGTTCAGGGGCACGAAATAGGCCATTGCTAGAGGCAGCCTGGCAATAACTGGAAGAGAACTACAAATGAATGTTTGCTTCTCAAATCTGTGGGGAAGTTAATCTGTGCTCTACCAGTTTCAGGAGCTTATGCTGTGAGGGTACCATGAATCCTTTATTAAGCAGTATGTATTTAGCAATAAATATATTATTGGTGGTCTTCTGTCATCTCCACTAAACATAACGTCCTACTCATCGTCTGACAGCCCTCCATTTACCACCCTACAAATGAGAGGGATCTGAGTCTCCTTTTCAAACCCCTGTCCTAAGCTAGGCTGCAGAAGCTAGAATAGGAAGGCTGAGTCATCTTAGAAGAAAATGAAGTGTACCAAAGCCACATAGAACAAAAGTATGTTTTCTAGATCGTTTGTTTTAACACATGGCTGCTTTTCTAGGGTATCAACCCGGGAGCTGAGGACGTGTCTTCTCTTTACCGCAGAAAGTAGGTACCCTCCCTTGTCATCTGTGCTGTCTCCCCTCCTCCACTCCCAGTTATTGGCATGACTGCAGGTACCTTATTAGCTAGCAAAATGACTGCCATGGCACACTGACCGCTTGGGACTGTGCCAGGTATGGCACAGCATGGGCAAAGAGGGCCAAAATGGTCTTCCAGCAGCCCACTTAGGAGCTAGGCTACGGCCTGAGCTGCTCTTACCCTCAGGGTTCTAGGTAGTTCCAGAGTAAAGGCCCTGGCCTCAGATGCTCATACAAGGATGGCTCTCATAGTGCCTTATCGGTTTCCTCATTTCTCATGGCTGAAGCAAGGAAGATTGGGTAGATAGGATTGTTCTGTTCATTTACAGCTATAATTCCTGAAAATAGAGCCGTGTGGCAGGGCAGGTCCTGGCTTTTGTGCTTGTCCCTTGTAAAGCAAGTGTTGGGTTAGTTCACAGCACTGGGGTAGAAAGGAGAAAGCAAGCTCCAGCCAGCCTGGGCAGCTCTGATGCTGGCTAACTCACTGCCCACATCAAAGGGAGATGACGAGGATCTCTCCATAAGCCCAGGGACCCACAGCTGACCCCCTCCCCTCACCCCCTGGAAGAAAGCAGCTGATACTCGTATTTCTGCACAGGCTCACATGATAGAGGGGACTTTCATTTTTCAAAGAGAATTCATACAGCCATTGATTATACAGAACCATTTCTCAGTACTCTTTTATTTCCACTTAAGAAAAGTGGAATATACCATGATAGGATTATAATTCCAAGACAAGATTGTTGGCTCATCATGTAGGGTACAAATACACACTTAACTGACATTTTAATGAACGCAAAGCATGATTAATTAAGCATCTCTGCCTTCGTTGTACACGGCTGAAGCAGGAGCCCAGGGAGGGGAAGACTGCACAGCTTTCCTTGGTGGGGAAGACAGAAGCCCCTGTAGTCCTGTCTTGTTGTGGGGAGACTAACCCATGTTCTGTCGGTTGCCATAGCCCCTAGGATGGGTGTCCTTCCAGTCATCCCACTCCCGAGCTCTGTGGACTGCCTGTTCATCATCCTCTTCCTCCTGTTCCTGATCTTGTTGCTGAGCTGCTGTTTTGAACTCTGCCCAAGTGGAAAAATGAGAAAGCAGGGGTGAGGGAAAGAGTGACTGTCACGGGCCCCAGCTCCACTCTGAATACGACCACGTAACAAGAGAACAAGGAATATATACCTAGCTGCCTACCCTGGGGCCAGCAGAACTGGGGAGAGTACTTACTATTACTTAACAGGTGACATGTTAAATAATAGTAAGACAGGATCCTCTGAGTGGTTTTCACGAGAAGGCAAAAACATAAAAGTTGCCCCTCAAAATGAATTCTATTTTGGGAAAGAATTCTTGCTAAAATGGCCAACCCCTCATAACAGAAAACGAAAACACCAACTGACCAACAGAACCCCAGCAAACCAAAAACACTGAAGTGTTTCCATAGTATAGTGGTTATCACACTCGCCTGACAAAAACACTGAAGTAAAAAATATTTATGATTTTATGATTTGTGATTTGCCAGGGAGGTGGGACTATAGGTGACTTCTCCTCCTTCATCCATTTCCTTTATTACAGTTCTACAATTCTGTGTGTGTATAAAATTGGAAATCACAGGGCAGTTGAGCCTACCAGAAAAGAATGTGTGTTATTTTGCACGTTTGGAACAGGGTCTGAGGTCCAAATGGCACTTGTCATGCAGTGTACCAAATACTAGGTCTCTTTTGCACTATTTTTTTTCTTTCCTTTGTGAGGTAAAGGAACATTTCCTAGCTACCTTGAATTTGCCCACAAGAAATACTCTCATTACCATGATAAAGAATGAAATATGTGGGGAATCTGACCTCTCCTTACAGCTTAGGAGTCTTGTGTTCTGTTTTTCTTTTTTTTAAACCCTTTTACTGTAAAATAAAAGATACTGGAAATCATACAAAAATATATATAACTTAAAAGTTGATAAGGAGGCTATACCTTTATAGCCTTCACTTGGGTCAAGATATAGATTTTCTGTACCCATCCCCAAAGCTTCTCCATGAGCATCTACCAAATGACACCCTGTGCTCACTGGCAGTTAATCCCCATTCCTTCCCTCCCTGGAAAGCACCAATCTACCTTCTATCTCTATAGAGTTGCCTATTCTGAACATTTCACATAAATGCAATCAAGTAACGTGTGGTCTTTTGTGTCTGACTTCTTTCACTTAGCATAATGCTTTTGAGGTTAGTCTTATCCATTTTCAAATATTTTGATATATTTTTAATTTACAGGTTTGTTCTTCCATCCCTTTCTTTCCTTACAAGTTCTCTGTTGAAGAGGCTGGGGCATTTGACCTGTAGTTTCCCCAAATCTGGATTTTGCCGACCGCATAGTCATGATGGAGTCCAACATGTTCTTCTGTATTTCTGCAGATTGGCAAGTGGACACAGAGCTTGATATGACTCAGGGTTGATCCCTTCTCATGAATACAGGTGGTGCTGTCCTCCCCCAGCAGGTGGCACATAGTATCTGTGTCTCATATGTTGTGATGTTAGCAGCTGTTGATGCTCAATGCCTAGATTCATTAATTTTCCCAGGATTTCAAAATGGTGATACTCTTTAACATTTCTTTTTTTATTAAGTAGAATGCTTTTATAAAGAGAGGCTTTCCCTCATCTACTACTATTTAGTCACCCAGGAAAAGAAAACAAGATTAATGCTTGATTCTTCTGCTTTAATTTACCATTTCTCAAGGTAATAAATTGGTTCCTTATCATCCTCTGAAATTGAACAATTTTTGTTTTAACTATAGTTATGAACTCATGGATTTAAACATATTTGATGGGTTTCAATGAATTGCAATGATTTCTAAAAAATATCCAAATAAGCTTTCTAACTTTAGTTTTAATTTACAGAAAAATTGAGAAGATAGTACAGAGTTCTTATACATCCGTACCCAATTTCCCTTATTGTTAACATCTTACATTACTATGGTTTGTGTGTCATAACTAATGAACCAATACTGATACATATATAACTAACAACTAAAGTTCATACTTTATTCAGATTTCCTTGGGTTTTACGTAATGTCCGTTTTTTTTTGGTTCCAGGATCCCATCAAATATTCCATATTACATTAGTCCTCTGTCTCCTTTGTCTCCTCTTGGCTGTGAGAATTTCTCACTTTCCTTGTTTTTGATGACCTGGACAGTTTTAAGGGGGACTCATCAGGTATTTTGCAGAATGTCCCTCAACCTGGGGTTGCCTCCTATTTTTCTCATAATTAGACTAGGGTTATGACTTTTGGAAGAGAATAACAGTGAAGTTTTCTCCTTATCACATCAAACCAAGGCTACACACCACCACCATGACATCACTGCTGATGTTAACTGGGATCACTTCAGGTAGTGTTTGTAGGGTTCCCAACTGCTCCCCCCTCCTTCTATACTATAGTCTTTGGAAGCAAGTAACTAAACATAGCCTACACTTAAGGGGTGAGGAGTTGTGCTGCACCTCCTTGAGACAGGTGTATACACACAAATTATTTAGAATTTTTCTGTAGGGGAGATTGGTCTCTTCGCCCCCATCTATTTATGTAATCATTTATTTCTATCACTATAGACTCACGGACACATTTTATTCCTTGTGTTATAATCCAATACTGTTATTTTCCTGCTCATATTCTTCCAGTTTTGGCCAGTAACAGTTCTTTCAGAAGGCCCTGTGTCACATTAACATACCTCAATAGTTTTTTCCTTGCTGTTGTTGTTTTTTGAGTGCTTCTTTATTTTCTAGTACTACAAAATATTTCAGGTTCATCTTGTATATTCCCTGTCCAGCCTTAGAATTATCCATTTCTCTAAGGAGCCCTTTAATTGGAGAATAGTATTAGAAACCAAGATTTGGGCACTAGACGTGCTCGTTGCTACTGGCAATTATCCTTTTTCAAGCCAAACTGTCTCTGGCCAGTGGAAACGTCTTCAAAGTGGCTTGTGAGTCCTTTTGATATGACCATAGTAGTCTTTGAAAGCTTCTTTCCTATCCTTTATGACAAGATGTTCCAAGCTCATCTTATTTATTTCCTGCTGCAAGCTTGGAATTAGCTATTTCTCTAAGACATCCTGGTTTCTTTTAATGGGAATGGTATTTCAAGAACAGAACCTGGGTTACTAGGTGTGCTCATTGCTTCTGGGCTGGTCATTGTTTCAAGCCTTTTCAGTGGATAAAGCAAAAGTGTGTGTTTGTGTGTGTGTGTGTGTACTTTTCAATAAAATTTCTCATGAGTTCATATTCAGGACTACAGGGGTGTTTTGTTTCTAACTCAAATTCTTTTGAATTACATCTGTATTCTTCCACATTAAAAGTCTTAGCTCTCAAAGACAGAGGATGATGGAATTTGAATATCTCATAATTACTCAGTTAACATTATCTCACGTTACACAGTCCTGGAATAACACTAATACTGTTACCAATATAATTGCTGAGAACAGTTCTTTTTTTGCATATTCTTTCCCCATTTCTCCATTAAAAGTTACACTATATCTACATTACCAGAGCACTGGGCATATAAGCATTAATACTTTCTCTCTTTCAAATCTCATTTAGTCTTAGTTCTACAAGTAACTATATATTTAATGCTGACTGATAGTCCTTATATCAATGTCTCTCTCATCACTTTGCTTGTCTTAAGCTCATTCTCTAGCAAATTTCTCAGAAAGGGATCATGGGACGAATATTTCCTGAGTTCCTGCATGTTGATAAATACCTGTACCTTTTATACCTAAAAGCCACTTTTACCAGATATAATGTCCTTGGCTCACATTTTTTCCCCTTGAGTATCTTAAATGTTACTCCATTTTCTTCTGGCATAAAGTGTTGGTGTCAAAAAGTTTGAAGATGATCTGATTTTCCTTCCTTTACAACCCACCTGCTGTTTTTGCTGAAGTATCCAAGGCATTTCTTTTTTTAAAAAAAGTCTAGTAATTTTATTAGAATGTGTCTTGCTGCTGGTCATTCTGGGTCAAAATTCGTAGGTACACGGTGTGCTTTTTAAAAGCCAATCTAAAGTTTCCTCAATATTAGTTTTTTTAAAAAAATATCTTTATTGGAGTATAACTGCTTTACAAAGTTGTGTGTTTCTGCTGTACAACAAAGTGAATCAGCTATATGTATACATATATCCCCATATCCCCTCCCTCTTGCATCTCCCTCCCACCCTCCCTATCCCACCCCTCTAGGTGGTCACAAAGCACTGAGCTGATCTCCCCGTACTATGCGGCTGCTTCCCACTAGCCATCCATTTTACATTTGGTAGTGTATATATGTCCATGCCACTCTCTCACTTTGTCACAGCTTACCCTTCCCCCTCCCCATGTCCTCAAGTCCATTCTCTACATCTGCATCTTTATTCCTGCTCTGCCACTAGGTTTATCAGTACCGTTTTTTTAGATTCCACATATGTGTGTTAGCATATGGTATTTGTTTTTCTCTTTCTGACTTACTTCACTCTGTATGACAGTCTCTAGGTCCATCCAATATTAGTTTTAAGCATTTTTTTCTTTTTCCTTGCTTCAGTATTCTTCTTCAGATAATCTTATTATCCATGTCAGGTCTTCTTTGCTATCTTTCATATTTGTCACTTTTTCTAGAAATCTGTTCATCTTTGTTTCTTTTTGATTTAAAACATTTTCCTTTTTACTTTAGAAAGGCATTTTCTGTTATATTCACTCATTCTTGTTTTCTTCTAGTTTAGCTTTCATTTCTTTTCTTTTATTCAAATTGAAGTCTAATAGATTTACAATATTAGTTTCAGGTGTATAACATGTTGATTTAATATTTTATATATTATATTCCATTTAGAGTTATTAATAATATTGGGAAAACGGTTGAAGAGTTAGAAGTGGAGATCACCTTCCTCCCCACAAATACATCAGAAATACATCTACATGTGGAATAGCTCCTACAGAACACCTACTGAATGCTGGCAGAAGACCTCAGACCTCCCAAAAGGCAAGAAACCCCCCACGTACCTGGGTAGGGCAAAAGAAAAAAGAAAAAGCAGAGACAAAAGAACAGGGACGGGACCTGGACCAGTGGGAGGGAG